GTATGTGTACCATACCTATGCATGCCAAAAGTTTACTTGCATGATAATAATTCGAAAATGACATACACATAGATAAATGCAACTAATTATTCAAAATCAGTGTAAGGGGCATGGGAACGACTGTGTTACCTTGACAACAAAATTAGAAGTATTTTCCAATGCATTTCATCATGTACTACCTGTATGCAAAATGTACTATCTGCATGCAATTGATTTGAGCCAATAATAACTGAGCTATGCTTCAGTTTACTATTCAATAAACATACTTACCCAACTAATGACGTCACACGTTGTGCTGAATCAGCAATTTATATTTTGCACATTTTTGCGTATAACTTCGGAAGCAGATGAGGTAAAATAGAGCAGTAAACTGACAATCGGTTTATTTTTTTATGCTCTTTCAGATAAAGCAATAAATTTTTTTATTGCCAATAACCTTTGAAAATAAGTAAGGAATGTTCTTCCTGTAGGCGTGCTAACATTGGTAATAAAAAAATAATTTAGTTCATTTGAAAGAATTCTTAAATATATATATATTAAACTCTGTTACAGATTGTTTATATTTTGCTTAGTTTTCAAAATATGTTGACTGAAAAAAGTGAGCTGTTCCCCATCTTGGATTATTGAGGATATGCATGTTACGTCAAGAGAGGGGTCACGCTAATTTTTTATATTGAGAGTAAGCGATCAATATGAGTCCAAAACTTTGTCTCTGGTTGCTGTCTGAAATTTAGAAATGATTAAAAACATTTGAAGAAAATTTCGATTGTTTATCGGTCATTTCATAGTAGTTTTATTGAAGTCAAGAATTAGTCCAAGATGGCGGACAGCTTATTAATTTCGGTCTAAATATTTCGACAACTAAACAAGATATGAAAAATCAGTAATAGAGTTTAATATATAATTTGTTAGAGTTCTTTAGAATGAGACAAACTAATATTTTATTGCCAATGTCCTTTAAGTATGATCTTCCGTAATAATATAAGTGGGATATAACGTGCAATTTGATTGGCTAATGCGCGTGCATTATAACGCAGTAATACACTGTGGTCCTGGCACTACCTTGGTCTTTCTGTGTTTTCCCCCGTTTCCTCTCTGCTTCTTAGGCAAAAATATAAACAAAACTGCAAAGCTTTTAAATTCACCTACGCCATTTAAGCACTGTTTTCATTGCTTGCTATCAAACCTTTTTAGTCTATGTGCTCCTTGAACCTAAATTGCTGTATTCACGTACGAGTTTGCTTTGAAAGTGTGCAAAAAGTCATCTAAAAAGGAACATTTATCTATCTGCTCCCATGTTGATTTTTCTGCCTTGTTTCCAGGCTCTGCTCTTGGTTTTCTTAATGGCACAGCAGTAATTCCACAGCGTGCAATTTCAAAAATAATTGCACTGCTGATGGCCAATCACAATTGAGTAATTTTTCCATCTATATTATTATTGGATGTACATAATAAAGGCACTGCCCTGCTCTGTGGTGGCAGAATAAATGGCCACCCTGTGAGAGAATTGATTTGTAGCTGAAAGGATTACGTTATTTCTCGATTTGTGGCTGATGAGCAAGCCTATAGACGCTAGCACCAGGCCCCAGCGACTAAAAATAAAAATAATTCACAACATAATATTTCTCTGATTTCCAAAGTGTAGTGCGACTGTTCGCAAAACGAAATAAATATATTACATCATTACACATTTCTATCATCTCACGTATTTCCACGAACAATGACTGAACTCTTGAACTGATTACCAAGTTTCTTTAAAATGCAATGAAATTTATTTTGAGGTTGTACTGTTTGTTTGAAGTTGGCAGTTTAAAATGACACTATAGAAACCCCATATAAAATATAAAAATTTACCAGTCTTGAAATATTTTATTTCTTGTTATTATCGTGATATTCCAACTCATGATTATCGTATCAAAGATACAAACATGAGTGATCATATATCGTAATTATCGTTATGGTCAATGACTATCGTGATATTGTTTGGCATGTCTACGTCGTTCCTTTATTTTCCCAGATACAGACATTGCACAGTACACTATCAGGGTTTTTCAGTGACTGCTCACATTAGAACCAGAACATGAGTGAAGCAGACCGAGCATGACTGAGCTTACAAATGGCGCTTTAAGCAGCCGCTATTAGTCCATACATCATTAATGATCTGCCTCCTGATGTACTGTATCTTATTAGTTTCTAATGTAGCTTAATTGTTATGTTAAAATTAATATGGTTTTACTGTATATTATTTGAAATCGAAACTACTGTCATTGTTTTTAATACATTTATCGCGATATTATTGAATATCATGATAGGGCCTAATTTCCTGATTTTTTAAATATTGCCCAACCCCACCGGACTTTCGAAACATTGCGTTGTAAACTCTAACCTCTTTAAGTTACGTTCATTAAAATTACAAGTCAGAGCTGTTTGCTGTGAACATGTGTTTTACCGATGTTTTTCCTTGCATATGAATATGAGTCACGTTTTAGGGGGAGTTACTATTTTTAGACTTTTCGGGTTAGGGTTTGGATTAGGGAAAGGGTTAGGGTTAAGGTTAGGACTAGGGAGGAATTTCATATTTTTCTCTGGGGGATGCAAAAATTTCAGGGTGGGGTGCTGATGATCATGTGCAGGGGCGGATCCGGGTTTTTGATGACCGGTTTACTAGGTTCACTGAACTAAAAATTTTAAAATTTGGGGCTCTGAAACAGCATTTCTTGCGTTCGGGCGTCACTTTTTAAATTAACTTAATGATTAAAAATGCATGTTTTTAAGTGAATTTTTGACTAATTCGCAGCTCAAACAATGAATTGAACCTTTTCCGAAGCGTATTAGCTAGTGCCTATTGTGATAAAAATATAGGATCCGCTAATTGCTGACACATCGATTTAGATCTACACGCTTTCAATCCAACTCTAACGACGAACTAAAAAACAAACTGCAAGAGGGTGAAAACTTCCCAATCATTTCCAGATTCTCAATCGCCAAAGCAACGATCAGTGGGTCTAAATACGCTCGGTAGTCCATAATCAAATTTCAATAATAGATTAGACAACATCAATTTTATAAAATAGAATATTGTTTAAATCAGTTATATACATGGACGGTTATAGATTTTCTTTCTTTGGAAAATCTGACGGGTTTATGTAAACCTGTCAAACCTGTCTGAATCCGCCCCTGATCGGAATGTGCGAACGCGTGGTGCCGATGAGCACGTTTTGTAAGTGTGTTATACTTTTACGTTAGTGAATTTTAATTTTGGCAGGGACAGGGGGGTGTGCATTTTTGTTGGTGGTGCACAATTTCTCGGTGGGTGTGTGGGAAAAATTGGGGAGGGGGGGTGCGCACCCCTCCTCCCCCCAGAAAATCCGTCCTTGGGGTAGGATTAGAAAAAGGATAAGTTTAAAATACAAAAGAAAAAGAAAACAAAATTACAAAAGTCTAAAAATATTAACACCCCCTAAAACGTGACAGGTATATTGCTTGGTATCGGTTTTTTTATGTTCTTTTTTCTGTGTCATTTTTACGGATAAACTCGGCCAACATGTCTATGTTGTTCATCACGTTAAGAAGTTGAAAACACACAACTTGTTGAGAACAATACACTGCCCTGTCGATGTATTGAGCACAACTGCAATTCTTCTGTCACAAACTGTGGCAAAAGCCGAAGAACTTAAATACAGTTCGCTTTCTCTAAATTACATTTAAAATGGTCCAGTATTTCCTGTCAAAGATGACAAAACTGCAAGTTAAGAACACAAACAGAAATTAAGATTTCACGGTAAATGCTTGAAGAGAACTTATGGAATATAGAAAGATCAAACTATATAAGGATCCCAAATGTAGAAATTAAGATTTCACAGTAAATCCTAAGAGAACTTATGGAATGAAAAGACCACAAATAGGGAGCACAAAGAGAAATAAAAAATTCACAGTGAATCCTAAGAGAGAACTTATTGAATAATAAGACCACAAGTTGTGAGCAAGAAGATAAATTAAAAATTCACAGTAAGAGAACTTATAGAATAATAAGGCAACAAGTTGGGAGCAAAAATAGAAAATAAAAATTCCCAGTGAATCCTAAGAGAGAACGTATAGAATAAAAAGACCACAAGCAGAGAGCCCAAATAGTAACATTTCTCTGTAAATCGTAAAAGTTAATTCACAAAATAAGAATTTGGCTTTTAAAAATTTATTTGTTGATAATCTTAGCAAAGATATAGCAATCGATCATGTTTCGGTAGCAACCCGGTGAAGTGAAATTGCCAATTTTTCTTCTCAGTGAATAAGCTTCGGACAATTTTTACAGAAGGTTTCACTAAACCCTGAATTTCAACGAGTAGGCAATTTATAATACAGCAAAACGATTGAATAACTCGTTGTGCGTGACGTATAATTAAACTCACATAATTAAACCTTAAAATCATTTAAAAGAACGAAACCATGAGCTAGCCCTCAAGAAAATTTAATCAATTGAGAAGAAAGTTCCCTCGAGTGTCGGACTGTATGCATGTGATATCTTTCTTACTCCGACTTTATCTCTTATTTAAATTATCACCCGAATATTTCATTACTATAAAAGTACTAAAAAAATTCAAAACAGTCCATATGACTACCGTCATCTATCGTCTAATCTAAAGATTTAAAAAATCTATAAAATTAAAAATTTGAAGTTTGTCTATAAAATTGCTATACTGTATAACAATTTTGATATTCACTTGCTTATTTGAGTTGAAACCATTACAGTGTTTAGATTATGGCAGGACCTGCTAAAATTTAACATGAAATCCTAAAAAAATGTATAGGATACAGAAACCACAAGTTAGAAGCACAAACAGAATTTAATCGCTTGAATAACTGCTTACTTAGGTAATCACAATCCTCGGATTTTATATACACAGACTGTGTCTATATTCTGAGATAATATCACTAATTTCAAGGAGGCGGCATTTTGCTAGTTTATTTCTGAAGTCAAAGCGCGGTCGTTGCCAGCAGAAAAAATGTTGGTCGCTAAAGTTACATTTGTTTTGGGCCTTCTTGTGTATGGTGGTGGATGTAAGAAAAGAGGAGAAGAGATTTCGAGAGAGAAAACCAGTAAGTATCTGCCTATATACGATTGACTTGTGTGATTGGCTTTCTTAGACAAATGGTCACTTATATAATTAAGTTACAACGAGGGGACTTGGAACGGGTGTCCAAAAAGTGCCCAAATCAAGAAATGAACCTTATCACTAGTAAGAGTACTTAAAAGATAGTAGGTATTTGAAGTTTGAAAACACTTATTTGCATGGGTACATATTACTGAATAATTACCTACTACTAGAAATACATGCATGCTTTAACCCCTCGCTTAACTGAATATTGATATATATTATACTTTTCTAAAAATACTGTAACTGTTTACTACGTGCCTAGTCTTGATATGCAATATATTTTTTTCTTGACGTATTCACTCTGTCCATGTGTCAAATGTGCTATTAAAAATATTGATCTGATCATTACTGGGAATAATATTTCAAAAAATTTATTTTGGTTAAGGAATTGTTAAGGAGACGAAACGTAAATTTTGTATTAAAAAGTGGAAGCGCAGTGTCCCCATCAACAACACAGATTGCCGATTTTCCATACACTCCGCGGCATTTCCTTTTGTGAAAAATCCAATATTTATGAAATATTCGTACTTTTACTGTGAAATTATCCCCTTCCCAAGTGTATAATATAGGCATATGTTATTACGAACTTTTTAACTTTCATTTATTGTAAAATTTAATCTTTAGACGTCTCACAAAACGTTGCGAAAATTTAACAGAACTTGAACAGTTTTTCGAAAACCATGAATGTCCATAATGAAATGAATTTCTTTGCACTTAAGAATACTGTTTTCTATTCCATAACGTATTTGAATCTATATTGAAATCCATCTTAGGATTAATCAATGTTGTATTGACCATTTAACAATTAGGCCTAGTTTACGAGCTCGAGATTTCTATCAGGTGATATAGATTTCTATGAGAGTAAGTAATCTAATTGTTTTAGTAGAATCAGAGGTCAAACATGAAATATTCCACAAAATAATTCAATAATGAAACCATTTCTTTAAAAAATTGCGCCAGGAAAATTATTGTTCTGCTACTCGCTATTTATCAAGGAATAGATAGCGAGTACAGTAGCCATGCAATCAAATCACAGCATTTGCAATAGAATACTAGTATAATTCTACTAATAATCATTATACCCTAGGTAGCCCAAAGCACTAATTTATTCAGTCGTGGTTGCAATGCACATACGTATATGCATTGCAATCGCGACTGAATAAATTAATGCTTTGGCTACCTAGGATTATACATGATAAAATATGCATTTGCAAAAAATACAAAATCTACATATTGTCATATAAGAATATAAATATTAAATACGATACGGTGTGAGCTGCTGTGAAAAATAAACACCCCGGATTTTACCTCGGTTAAAATGCTTCACATCACATCATGTCGTAAAGGTTGCTGTATATTTAAAGTGAAATTTGTCCAAGATAATTTTATTTATCTTGTTTGGCGACTTTCTTTTGTAAATAAAATTTGTTTGAAAATCTTTCCAAAATGCCAAATTGCCAGTTAACATCTGACGTATACATCAACTTCTCCAAAATGTCAGATTGCCAGTTAACATCTGACGTATACAAATTGACGCGTATACATCTTTCTCTCGGCCTAAACTGGCGCACGCGTATGAGGTTAATGACCGTCCATGACGTATTAGGTCCATGAGATCGCAGTGTGCAACTTTGGATTCCGCTATGTTCTCACATACCAGGGTGTAAATACCCCAGCGGAACTAGTACCCTCGCACGGCGCTCCGCGCCGGCTCGGGGAATATAGAATAAAAAGTAGTATTAGGCGGTATCCGCTTATACTTCTACAAATACTTACTCATTTCTAATGGGGTTTATTTCTTGATTTGCGCACTTTTCGAGCACTCGTTCCCTCCTCCACTCGACGTTTTTGAAGTGGCCATATGTGTTATCATTATTTTACTAATAGCCAGGTTTGGTCATATAGGTATTGAAAAACGTGCTGCCGCCGCGCCTCCAAAGCCGGCAGTGCCGGCAGACTGCAGAAAGACTGTCGGGGGAGAAGGAGGAAATGCAAAACAAATATTTACCCAGCTCATCCACGCTATTGAAAGGAGGCTATATAGCAAGGAACTGGCTATTAATCAGTTTGGGTTTCTCTACATGCATGGTAAAACTTACGGTGTGCAATATGATGATCCTAATGTCAGTAAGGTAATGCAGTGGACGAAACCGCTCCCTGGTAAGGGGAAACAGCTCCCTGGTCTAGGGAAACCGCCTCCTGATAGCAGCCCGCTCCCTAATAAAATAATATGGCCTGCCAAAGGAAAAACCATCAACTTTCAATTCGCACAACCAACTCCCGCAGCGATTGGAAGACCTGGTAACATCGGGCACTCTGAAGAACAACTTCTTAATTCTTTTGAAATCATGGCCGACAACTTTATAGCAAAACACGGCAACGAATGTCCGTGTTATGTGATTTTGGGAAAGTCTTGGCAAAACATTGTTTGGGGATAATTTTCAGATAATTGGGATTTGGGTCGACGGCCACGAGTAAGTATAGGGCCTTAAGCATGTAGGACGGCAACGCGACGACGACGGCTATCAAAACAATGAGTCATTGAAAAGTAATGAATAATGAATGACCTGTGGGAGTCTTTGACGTAGTCGTCGCTCTGTTTACAATGGCAAATCACAGATTTTCATGTCTTCTGCACAGCCCTGAATTTCAAGCGGCAGCAAGTGTTACTTCAAATTGGACTCAGTAGAATTCTTCCCAAACGTAAATCCCATGTTTTCAACGTCCTAAACTGCGTTAAAATCATACGATTGATAATATACGACAAGTTTTCTTTACAAGCATTATTTGAAGGAATTTGCTTTGGCCACCGTCGTCGCGTTGCCGACCTACATTCAAGAGTGGAATATATATATTGAAAATTTTGAGTTATTGCTCAATATTATCGAACAAATCCACGAAACTGACCAAAGTTCGGGAATATACATATAACTGATTATTATATAGACAAGCGCCGGATATGCGCTATCCTGCAATCCGATTGGTTCTCCACTAGTAGGATATTCGCTCATTTCCTACGTACTAGTATAGATAATTCAAGATGGCGGCGAAAAATCTATCCGGCAACTTCAAACAGAGAAACAGCAAGTTTTGCAAAAGTTAAAGCCTTGAATGGGATAAAAACACTCTGAAAATACTTATAGTAATTGTTTACAGATTTGAATATTGGTTCTTAATATTTAAACTGGTTTGAATGAATATATTTTGAAATAAATAATGCCGAAAGAGCGACGACGAAACACAAAGAAAACATTCAATGGATTAAAGTGCCTATATCACTCATGGGATTTTTATGGATTTGGAAAGAGCACAAAAAGTTAGTATAGAAAGTCTAGATCCTTTTTTGATATAAAACAATAGTTTCTGAGATATCGGGCCTCAAACAGGGCATTTTTCGCCTTTTTCAAAAAAAGGTGTGTTGCTCGGGGGACTGGGACTCAGGAACCTAATTTGCAAGCACGCCGTCTTTCCTAATAAAAAACATATAATTTCTCTGGTGGTATCCTTTGTATTTTTCGAAATAATGCCGGAACAACACAGCAAGTTCGACAAAAAGTATATCTTTATACCGTATACCTTATTGGGACGATAGCAGGCAAATTGCGAGAAGCAGACGAAAGAAATGGGAGGACTTCATTCGGCGGAAAAGAGACAAATGGGTGCCAAGTGTTAGTTCAGTTGTGTGCTCTGAACACTTCGCGCAAGAATGTTTTGAGTACGGTTCGAGCACTGTAGAGAAGTACAAGATCCCGAAGCTTAAGCGAGATGAAGTTGGAGTTACTGCCGTGCCTTCTCTGCTGCCTAAAGCGGCATCTTTGGATAGTGAACGAAGTATGCGCATACAACACAGAGGGAAGGTGTGTATTTATATCTCGTGTTTGTTTGAATCTAGGTATTCAAACCGTGTGCGTTTCCATCCCTGGCTTTGTTTTATATTTATATATTTTATTACTTTTGATAGTTTGTATTTAAATCTAAAATATAAAATCTTGCGAATTTATAGATAGCATTTGCGGAAGGACCCCCGACTGTTGAAGAACCTCAGTCTTCGATGTCAACAAACGTGAGTATTTTGTATTTTGAAACGTATAATTCTCTTGGTGTATTTACAACTAAATAATATCTACATTTATAGATTACATTTGAGGAAGGACTTTCAACTGGTGAGGAACCCGGACCTTCAACCTCGAAAAAAATAAAAGAGGCGAGTGCTTTGGACTTTGGAACAGACTTGTATCATATTGCATGCAATAACGTGAGACTTTATTTCAAGGCAAATTTCAGTGTTCATGCAAACCCATATACTAATGACAGTTTCTTGTGTTGTAAACATACAAAAGGGCTAATTCAAGAATGTATTTTTGTCTTTTATAGCATGGGGAATGTAGCAATTGCAAAGCTTTGTTGCTAAAAAATAAGAGGCTCAAGAGTGATTGGCTGTCTGCAAAAAACAAGCTTGAAGTTTGCAGAATGCAAATTGCACAAAATTCAGGTAAGTCATATGTACTGATTTCTTTTGGCCTTACATTACTGCAATTTCATACCCAGAGCAATAGGATCAACCTAAACTGTAGCCTCTAGGTATAAGATTGCACATACTGTAGAGATCATAAATCATGTAGTGACCCAGCACCAATAATTAACCATAGTAACAAACTTTTTATGATCGTGAAAAAACACAGGAGAAGAAATTCATCCCAGTACAGCGTCAAGATATGATGAACAGTGCAGCTCAGACATTGGAATACCTCCATCAGATGATTTCCATGAAGAGGATTGCTATGATGAAGAAACACCAGAAGAATCAACAGAGACTGAGACAGATGATGAGACAAATCCGCAACATAAAAGGTGAGTGGACAACCCTGATAATAAATGTAAACATAATGCATATGAAACATTCCACAAAAATGACTGGACATGAAAGACTATGTATGTACCATATTGATGAGTAGAAAGATCAGTATGCGGATACACAACTTTATAACAGACTATATATTCTGCAAGAGTAGTTGACACAACATAAGCTATAAGGAGTCACTGAAATAATT